GTTTAGATGCACCCCTGAACCCGAGAGGGAAAAGTGTGCGTGCTCCTGAGAGGGAAAGCGCAAGATGAAGCCTTTCTTAAAAACCCTCCCCAGACCCACCAAGCTGGATGTAACTTTTTAAAAAAATCCTCACCCAAGGATATTGATATTTTTTTTTTAGAGTAAGAGAAAGGGGTGGGGGGAGAAACATCTACGTGAGAGAAACATTGATCAGTTGTCTCCTGTACGTGCCCCAACCGGGGATCAAACCCACAACCTAGGTATGTGCCCTGACCGGGAATCAAATCCACAACCTCTTTGTATTTAGGACAATACTCCACCAATGGAGCCACCCGGCCAGAGCTGGATGTAATACACCAACACCCTCCCCTGTCCCCTCCCCCAGTCCCCAGGGGACACGCTCTGTGATTCTAGAATAGTGCTCATTTTGCTTGTGTTGCACTAGCATGCAGAATGCCCACCTATCACATACCAAGCAACAAGAGACTTAAGTTTCTTGCATGTCTGCCTTGGGTGCCTTGTGCACGGTAGATGCTTAATGTTTCCATGTCAGGAATTCCAGCTCAAAGATCACTCCAAAATAGCTAGATCACCTGAGGCAGCTCACTCCTACCTGAGCCCTTTTCCAGAGTTCACTCTCTCTGAGAATTAATATGCAGGCAGCACTCAGTGCCTAGCACCTAGTAGGTGAGTGCTTGGCATGGGGCAGCTTTCAAGGTTCTTCAGAAGGTTACATACCAGGGAATTATGGAAAAAAATGGACCACCACCACCACACCCCAGAAGTTGGTGAGCCCCATTCATTCTCTAACCAGTAATTTAAAAATTAACCATACCTTCAAAAAGGTTAGGTTCAGCTTCCCTGCCTAGGGTACCAATGACTGACAAAGATGCATGTTGGGTAGCTTGCCCTGGGTGGGCTGGGAAACTGACATTTAGGGAAGTAAGGGGATGCTGAGCTGACCAGCCTGCAGCTACTGCCTCACCCCACTCTCCATAGAGTAGCCCCCATGTCACTTAAAACACTCTCATCAATCAGCTCTCTACTTGCACAGCAGAGGCAAGAAAGCCCTTCTGTATGTGAATTTGTTTCTTAAAATCATAGCATCCACCCCAGTGACACACTGGGACAGGAGCAGAGCTTGGAGTGTGCCACTGTGCCATCCACAAAGGGCCCACAAGACCCAGTACCAGGAGAGCCAGGTTCTAGGCCTCACTCAGCCATTTACAGATTATAAACAGATTACAGTGATAAGATGTAGCCCAAGGATTCCACTCCCACAGAAGCTCTCAGGTCACTCCCAGCCTCCCAATGAGAAATGATGCACCACATGCATGATGACTTAGCATCACCCATATTCAAAGGAGCTGCACTTCGTTGAACCAGAAAGCACTTGGCAGCCACCCACTCACTTCCCCCCATGAGGCCCTTAGAAAGACCATCCCAGCTGACTGACCTGAGCCAGTGACAGAGCCCCTAGGCCCTCCCTCAGTAACCCCTGTAGCCCTTTTCTGAACTTAAGACAAACTGGCTCTACCCCTCTGCCTATCAGTAGGGCCAGGCTCAATGCCCAAATTCTACTCATCTGAACATGACTTTACCAGACCACACCCAGGTGCCCACCAAGGCTATATCCCTGATATCTGGGAAGTGACTGGGCCAGCATGCTCCCCTTTTCATATTGTCACCAACTTGTCCTTTCCCAAGACTAGCCCCTACAGCTACTCTGGGGCTGCTGCTCCTCAGCCTGAACTGTCCTCCTCTGGGCCAGGCCTCATGCTGAGCCCCAGATGGATAGGGATCTCCCTGCCCCTACAGGATGCAGATTTGGAAATTCACAATGCAAAAGCACAGGCTGTGACAGTTTAAACAGAGAAGGGGTATAATGAGAGGGCTACAGGTGTGTATACAATGCTCCTTGCATGTCAAAACAGCTAACATCGGAACCTTGAAGGATGGCTAGGTTAACCAACTCTCAGTGTGTGAATGTGGGTCATTTGGGGGGTGAGGGGTAGGTCAGAAGCTGAACATGTTAGACGGGAAAGTATTCTCAACAGAGGCCACAGTGTTGCAAGAGCCCAGGACACAAGTCCAAGGACCATATTAGGAATGCAGGCACTTTCACATAAGTGAGGAGTAGAAGAGATTATGCTGGATGGATAGGCAAAGCCCAACAAGAAGCTTGGATTTTATTCTCCAAACAACAGAGATGACTGTGCCTCAGCTGCCTGGGGAAGCTGGGGAGCATTCTCCCACTCCTCTCCAGCCTTCTCATACCAAAAGCTATGTGTCTGCCCTCTAGCCTAGTCCCTAGCTGGCTCTTGGGGACCACGCAAGTCAGAAGGTCAAAGAGCCTCGGTCACCTATAATAGCCATTCTCTGAGGTCAGACCACTGCCAGGGGCCCAGCGGGCTAAAGAGCTTCTTGGAGGAACTGTTAAGTATAGACACCTAGCTCCACGGAGGAGTATCCGACTCAGCCAGCCCAGGCAGCCAGGTATGGGAGACAAAAAACAGCTGACTCTTTAGCTATGGCCACCTCCATTTGCACCTCCAGTGAAGATTTCTGAGATAAGCTATTTTGAGAAGATTGGAGGGAACACCTGAAAAGTTGTTTCTCTGGTGCCATATTGCTCTGGGAGTTCCTCTCTAGTTCCTGGCCTGGGGAGACCACCTGTCCCTGGCTTCAGTTGGAAGTGCCAAGTACAGACTGAGAAAAAAATGACTGGAGAGAGGCCTGAAAGAAGCTATACTATGGACTCCATCACTTTCAGGTTCTGGGGTTTGGCCTATGCTGGGAACCACAAGAAAAGAAAGTGGAAACGCAGATAAAAACCATTCTAATGAATTCTGGGAACATTCTTTGGCTAGAGGAGAGAGGCTGCCAGCTGCCAGCTGCCACGTGTCTGGAGCTCCCAAATATGCTTCATGTTCTGCTGGCACCACAGGTCTAAATCATCTCCATTCTACATACGATAAAACAGAGTTAAAGTTTTGACTTGATAAAGTGGCAGACACACCAAAGAGACTTCACCACCACGTTATTCTGGAGTTCTAGGCCCAAAGGGCCAAGATACCAAACCTATCGACTGAAGTTAAAAAAAAAAAAAGGCAAGTCAGAAAAAAGTACATACTTAAAAGCAAAACCTAGAACAAGTTGAGCATAAAATAAATACCCATGAGTCCATACCGATATAAGTAAATGATTGAATAAAGAAATAAACAAGGCCAGATGGTATGGCCCAGTGGTTGAGCATTGACCCTATGAACCCTGCAGGAGGTTATGGTTCGATTCCTGGTCAGGGCATGTGCCCAGGCTTCAGGCTCGATCCCCAGCTGAGGGTGTGCAGGAGGCAGCCGATCAATGACTCACTCAATATTGATGTTTCTATCTCTCCCTCCCTCTCCCTTCCTCTCTGAAATCAATAAAATATATTTTAAAAAAAGAAAATAAACAAGCAGGGGAGAAGAAACGATTCCTGTTGAGAATTCCAAACATCTTGTGTGCTACTCTCCACTCTTTAAGTGTGGGCTGCACATAGCAACTTCCCTCCTAAGGGGACAGTATGGACAGGGGAAAATAATTTAAAGAGCAGAAATCTGATGAACACAACCTTGGCCAGGCTTTCAAGGTCAACATCAACCATGGTAAGTCCTGGGCCCTGGACACGACACTGAGGAGAAGGGTGCTTTATACTGTGGTCTTCTTCCCTGAAACCTATAACCCCAGTCTAACCATGAGAAAAACGAGACAAATTCCAATTAAGAGACATTACACAAATTACTGAGCAGTCAATGTTATCACAAGTAAGGCAAGTCTGAGAAACAGTCACAACCAAGGAGACTAAGGTGACACGACAACTAAATGTAATGCAGAATCCTAGAACAAAAGGACATTAGGAAAAAACTAAGGAAATCTGAATAAAGTATGGACTTTGGCTAAGAATCACGAATCAATAGTGATTTTTCTATTGTAATAAAAATACCATACCGATATAGATGTTAACAATAGGGGCATGAGATGCAGGGTACATGGGACCTCTTAGTACTATTTTCACAATTTTCTGTAAATCTAAAACTGTTGTAAAAAATAAAGTTTATTTAAATAAAAAAAATAAAAATAAAAAAGACGGCAAGCTAGAGGATATCCTGCTCTAGCCTGGGTCTAAGCACTAGTACTGCTCTGCTCACTGATGTCTTATCTGAGGACTCCATTCTAAAGACAGGCTTATCTTGACCCAGTGTCTGCTTGGCTCAGTCCATTCACCCCATGAGCAGAAAGAAAGGCTGTTTTTGGCAGTGTTGGTCAGTACATCACTGAGTCCCTGGCCAGAGAGGTGGAACAGCCAGGCATAAGCTGTGCACCTGCTGAACACTGCAGCCTAACCTCTCCACCTTCGTTACCTTTCCTCACTCCCTGTTCCTCCCCAAAGTGAAAATCCAGGCATTTTAAAGCCGGCTGCTAAGGCACACTCTAAAAAATAATCAACAGAAACACATGTGACAAATCAGAACCAAGGAAGTGGGGAAAAGAAGGGGGGTTCTGGAAAAGTGTTTCCCAAATCTTGTCTTAAAATTGTTCGCATAAACTGAGAGCGTGGGCTCTTGCTCAGTCCTAAGCTCCCAGGTAAACAGCCACACAACTTAATTTTCAGATGAAGAAAAGAAACAACTGTATCCTCACAGAATTAAAATAAAAAAACAGACCTGCTCTGGTAGATCAGTTGGTTGGAGCATTGTCCAAACATCCCAGATCAGGTCACATACAATAATCAACCAATGAATGCATAAATAAGTGGAACAAGCTGATGTCTCTCTCTCTTTCTCAAAATCAATCAATCAATAAAAACAAAATAAAAAACCCACAGACCTTACAGCCTTTCTTTTCTCTCAGGCTTTATGCTGCCATGCTATTGATACAAAGGAGTCAAGTTCTAAGGCAACCCCAACCTATATCTTCAGACAGGCAGGCCTGCAGGTGCCAGACACCAGGGCACTTACTTCCTGAGGATGATGACCGCTCTTCGCTCCTTGATGTCCTGAGGCCGTATGCAGTGAGTGATTTCATCAGCAGCATATCCACTGAAAATAAACACAGAGCATGTGAACAGGGAGAACAGACAGAAACCAAAGTTGCTGGGGAGATAAGGAGGAAAAATATGGCTCGGATCTTATTGCAACCATCTGCCCCATTATTTGAGAGGTTCAAGGATCTACATGGAAGGTAAATAACACTTCTGTCCTGAAACCACAAAAGGAAAACTTGGGATGAGGCAAAGGAAGGCCTTAAAGGCAGAAGCCAAAGCAAGAATCTCCCTGTACAGGCTAGGAGCCCATCTTTTAAAGGGCCCCCGAGAGGATATACCCTTTAGTCTCTGGAGACAGCTGGAGTGACTCAGACCAGACCTTGGTGACAAGTATCTCCTCCTCCTCTTCCTTCCCTCCCTTTCTCCCACCCTTCAGCTTGCAGAGGAAGCCAAGGTACTGACAGCACTGTTCAAAAAGAGAACCTGTCTACTTGAAAAGAAGCTTTCAAAAACCTCCATTTGGGGGACTCCAAAATCTTGAAGACACAGGACACTCAAATACCTATTTTCATCAAGACACATAATTTCTGCCCAGCCGGTGTGGCTCAGTGGTTGAGTGTTGACCTAGGATCCAAGAGATCCAGGTCTGATTCCCAGTCAGGGCACATGCCCAGGGTATCAGGCTCGATCCCCAGCAGGAGGCGTGCAGGAGGCAGCCAATCAATGACTCTCTCTCATCACTGATGTTTCTCTCTCTCCCTCTCTCCTCTCTCAGAAATCAATCAAGATATATTAAAAAAAAAAAAAAACACGATTTTTAAAACTGCTCACAGACCAATGAATGTAGATGATTGTCCTCTTCACAGCTAACAGCTTTCCTATTTGATACTCTGAAAGCAAACTCAGCTTCCTGAGCCCCATCACATGCCCTCATTGGGAGCATGGCACCCAAGAGGAACCCCACTCCAAGTTCCTCCACTTAGCTAAGGCAGCTTTATACAGCCAGAAACATACTCAGCCACAGGCCTAGAGGGAGATGAGTGCCTTTCTCAGCCTTCTCCTGCTTAGGACTCCCTTGACCACCCTCGGACCATAAATCTTCCCCTACATGGCTTCTAATCAGCTCCCTTCTCAAGGGCAGCTATAAAGACACATGCCTGTCAGAAATACTGTATGCCAGGGAAGGACTCCTTGAAATGGAGCAAGATATAAGAGCAAATAAAACAGTCTGAGAGGGAAGCACCTCTGATTTGGAAATCTGATTTGAGATCACAGTGGGGGTAGAGAAAATAACCGTTACTTTAGGATTTCCCCTCAGAGCTGCTACCAGAGCAGAGTTTTCCAGTTTTCTCTGTGAACATCAGTTACATAAGAGACTATGGACAAACACCCACAGTCAAATCAATCTGGAAAATACTGAAGAGTCTAAAAAGCACTAGTATGTTAAAGGATCTGGGAATTACTATAGCAAAGCAATCTGCTGACTTTAACTGAGCACTGACCATAAACCTCCTAAAGAATGCCTGTTAACATTTGTAGGCCCACAGTGTGAAATGCCACATAGGGATTGAGGAGTTGGAGAGACTTGGGTTTGAACCTGAGCTTTGCCACCTGCCAGCTTTGTGACCTTAGTTAAGTCACTTGCTGGGCCTAAACCTATTTCTTCATCTGTAATATGAGTAACAGTAGGCTTCAGCTGTTCACTTTGTTATGCTTTATAACTTAGGTATTCTTTTGTGCCCACTAATGACTATAAAATTTCAAAAGGGGAACTGTGCCTCCTCCCTTCCAGGCAGAATTATATGACTACATGGTTGGCATCCTTGGGAAGGAGCAGTGGGAGGCCTACCTACAGGGCTGTTGTGAGAATTAAGTTAGATAATGCAGGGTGCCTGGCACCCCACTCCCATTTACAAACATCTGACTCAAACCAGACCACCCTGGACCACCCTGGGACAAGCTAGAGCCTTGGGTTCAGCTCCTGCCAAGACTTGATCCAGGCTCCCCATGCAGGGATCTGCCAGCAGCAGAGGACTCCTGGGCCCTATTCCCAGGGCTAGGAGCTTTAGGTCTCCTCCTATGTTCTTGTCACTCCACACTGAGGGAGTGCAGATCTGAGTTGCAAGATAGTCCCATATAAATACAGGACTTCCTCAAAGAGCTAAATCCAATTCCCTAAAGGTTCTCCAAGGCATATTTCTAGGGCATAAATTGGCAGTACTGGCTACAGGCAACCTTCCCTACACTTAACAAGTGTTATCAATCTGTTTGACTTGACTATAGCTACTACCAAGGGCCCTGACTTCCCATCTCCAACAAGAAATCACTTTCCTTAATAAAGTTCTGGAGAAAATCCATGTTTGTCAAATCTTAACTGTTCCCACACCCCAAAGGGCTCTAGAATGTAAAACAAGCCACAGAGCCCAAGCCTCAGAACTAGTGAGGAGGTAGGACTGCAGAGGCCTACAGAAATGACGTGGCACTGACCCCACCTGAAAAGCTCATTAGCACTGGTCTTCTATAACTTCCTGGCAGCTATGACACAGCGTACTGACCCCTCCTCAGAGTATCAGATTCCTCCGGGAGCAGGAGGCTCAAGGTCCTGACCAAGTGTCACTCCTGTGGCAAATCTTCAGCAGAAAATGTCCAGCAGAGACCAAAAACAGTTATTTACTACTGAGAAACCTACTTGCTACAAGAGAACCTGTTTGCAAGTCCCAGTCTGCCAACTTGAAACTTAATATGCCTTGGGTCCAGCCTTACACTTGGCATAAAGGAAAGTTCCAGTGCCTAATGTTCTTTTGTTTTCACAGAGGAAAGAAATACCTCATGCTGGTCAATCTGCCTGGGCTAAGCCCCCTCAAGCAGCAGTGACTAGTATGCTGCAAGCATCAAGACTCACAGAACCTGCCCTGGCCGGTGTTCGCAGTGGTTAGACCATTGGCTCACACACTGAAGGGTCATGGATTCGATTCCTGGTCAAGAGCAAGTACCTGGGTTGCAGGTTTGATCCCTGGCCCAATCGGGCATGTGCAGGAGGAAACCAATCGATGTGTCTCTCTCACATCAATGTTTCCCTCTTTCCCCGGACCCCTCCCTCCACTCTCTCTAAAAATCAATGGAAAAAATATCCTCGGGTGAGGGTTAACTAAAAAAAAAAAACACAAAGAAAACCTCACAGAACCTGACTCTGTCATCCACTAGCTCTGAGCCTTAGAGTGATTCCTCAAATCCCCAGGGCTGGGTTCTCCCACAATGCCTACCCATGCCTCTCTACTACTACATTTAGCCTTGTGGAAAATGTCTTCCCTACATGGCAAAGCTTTGCAAAGTTCTTACTGATCTCTGCATACCGGGGACACAATGAAATGTATTGAGCTACACTGTTCTACTGCTTTGAAGCCTGCTTCTACATCTACAAAACCGCAAGTCATTCCTCAGAGAATTAGGTGCACGTTATAAATGAGAAATCTGAAAAGCTCAATGATAAGGGACTGTACATTTCTCCTCTAAGGGACAGTCTTGGAGACCAAGCAGTTAAGGCACACTTCCAAGATGGCCACCATTCCCTTTCCACTCTGTGCCCTGCCTGGAGCAGGATAAAACTAGAGATGGAGGGACTGGCCAAGATACTGGCCTTGTGACAGCCTCCCTCTGGCTGGTGCTACCTGCTCTGGGCAGTGTCCAGTGATCTTTGCATGGCTGAGAAGCTTAGGCGTTTGGGAGGCTGTAGGCCAACCACCTGGGCACAGGGGTGGGATTGTGAGCTCAAGACCCAAACCTCCAAGACACCACATTGCCTAATTTTACAGGAAGTCCTGGGGCTTCCTATAAAGAAGGTCAACCTTCTCCGAGTCGCAGTTCTGTACACACCAAGGTATAGACAGAGAGTAACTAAACAGAGAAGGCAACTCATCTCCAGAGACACTTTACCTAAACTTCAAGCATTCAGTAGTGTGAGAGATTCAATCTTAGATAACAACCCTATGGTATTAATAGCCCCATCTGGTAGAGGTAAACTAAAGCCCAAAGAGGTTAAATAACTTGCTCAAGGTCAAACAGCTAAGGTGATAACACTGGAACTCTAATCAAACTCTTGGTTTCAGTGTGCTACACTGGTTTTTATTTTTTGATTTGAGGTAGGGAAGTAGGTAATGAGGGCTAGGAAGAAAAGCCCATGTTTCCTGGTGACAAGATTCAATCTGTCCTTGGGGCTTCGCTAGCCTCAGCAATACCTTAGCAACAGCTGCACACCAACTGCCCAGCCAAAAATGCCCATCCAGCCCTGAAATTTTTATGGCCTATTTATTTTCTGCTTGCTCTGAACTTCATGATTAAGACCACGGCTCGCCTACTAGCTTCCTTTTCTTCGCTGCCCTCTGCCTTCTTGTCAGGCCTAGCAGAACCAAGGTCAGACACCCCCCCACTTCCACAGCGCCTCCTGAGAATGCACAGCCCTGGCTTCATCCTGAGGTTCTTTCCCCTCCCATGGAATCGAAAGATTCCACACAAGAGATGTGTCCCAGACCTAGCTGCCCTACTTTCCCAACTATTTTAAGCCAGAAAGCTAAATTTTGATTTCAATCAGCTGAACAAGATCAGCCCTTAGCCCAGAACTGACAGGGGTGCCCATTCCACCCCATATCAACTGTGAACTGGAAGTCACAGGCTGAGCTCACCTCTTTGTATCCCATCACTGGGTGATACAGTCATTTCCAGACAGGTGGCTATGGCCTGGGTCTCCGGGCACATGGCCACCACCATCACTAACCATGCAGCAATGATTAAAGGTAGCAGCAAGGCCTGGCCGATGTGGCTAAGTGGTTGAGCATCAAACCACGAACCAAGGGGTGACGGGTTCAATTCCCTGTCAGAGCACATGCCAGCTAGATCCCCAGTAGGGAGCGTGCAGGAAGCAGCTAATCAATGTTTGTACCTCTCTATCCCTCTCCCTAAAATCAATCTTTTAAAAAAAGTAGCGGCATGCAGGCAGCCTTGAGGTAATCATTCTAATTAATCCAACCGAAATCTGTTTTAATTTGCCCACTCACCCTACAAGGAACAGGAGAAGGAATGTGGTATGAAGAGAAGGTAAAATATATTTAGTTCCCTAGAGAACAGCATTAAGAAGGGGTCCACCCAAGCCCAACATGGGAAGGTTAGGAAAAAAGACAAAAACTGGGTTTGGAAAGAAGTTTGAAACTCTTCTACAAGGGCCTGTGCCCACAGTTGGACACTGCTGAGTTAATGTGTGTCACGCACTAATAATCCATGTTGACAACTATTAAATATAAAAGTATATTTGTGCCATGTTGTCTTGGATAGGTACACACACCATTGCCACCACCAACTGAAGTCTGAGTCAGATGAAAATTACTACCACCCTTCCCCATCTAGAGTGAACCTCTCTTCATCAGCTGTTCCTTCCAATGGCAGCCTTACAACTCCTCACTCTGGGATGGGATACATACTAGGAAGTGAAAGAAAGCATCATCTTTTTACCAGCTTGGGAAAGAACCAAGCAGGATTTGAAGAGAACCACTACTATGAGGCAGGTGCTCATCCACCTGCACCCCAAGTAAGCTGAGATTGCTAAGTGAGCAGGTGATATAAGATTTAACTTAGTGGGGATGTTCAGAACTTGAGCAATGGCTCTCAAGTGGGGATGATCTTGCCCCCTTAAGGGACATTTGGCAGTATCTGGAGACATTTTTTATTGTCATAGGTGATACTGGCATCTAGTGGATAGAGGTCAGGGATGCTGCTAAACGTTCTCAGTGCACAGCACAGCCCCAGCACAACAAACAATTAGCCAACCCAAAATGTGAACAGTACTGCTGTTGAGAAGCTGTAATCTAGAGTTTTACCAAGGCATGCCTCACCAGAATCTCTACCAGGTGGAATGTGAGGGCTAATAATAAACTTCATCTGCCTCACTCAAGTCAGCATCTCCCCATGCCCCTTACCTATGGCCATTACCTGCTACTGCTGCCAGAGTGTTCTTTGCTTAGCTAACTCCTAGTCACCATTCAAGTTCCAGCTAACTTCCTCCCCAAAACTTCCAACACTCCAGGATGGGTTAAGATGTCCCTTCTCCCCTCTCAATGTATTCCTGCAGTTACGTTCCTGGCGGTAACTGTCTGCAGTCTCCACGGGGCTGTGAATTCCATGAAGGGAAGAGCCATGTTTTAGGCTCCACTCTATTCCTGCCTAACCACAAATCTGTTCAATTCCAGGGAAGTCACTCCCCCTCTTGGGAATGGAGAATGTGTATCAATTAAATATGCTCAGGGGCCTTCCTCTGTATTTTCTGTTAAGAAATCCATGAACACTTTCTCTGTTAAGGAAACCACCAATGGCAAAGTTGGAAAGATTTTGAAACGGTAAGTTCAACACATTTTTTAAAAAACAAAGTTGAAAACGGAGGCCCAGAATAAAAAACTTGGTAAAATCACAAAGGAAGAGAGATTCCAAAACCCTTAGCCTTCTGGAAAGATGCCTATGGATTCTCAGGTCCATGATCAGGCCAAACCTACCCTCCGGATACAGAATTCTAGATGGTTCCCTGATCCGTCCCTACTTTCTTACTACATGTTTAAAACGCAGACCCCTTTCCTCTACTCACCACCCACCCAAAACAGAAAAATGGGTCAGAACTGTCAAGTGCGGGCTCCTACTGGCTGCTGCCTCCTGGGTCAGGGTAGGCAGTTAAAGCAGCGCGGCCCGCCGCCCCCTCCTCCCAGGTGCGTTACCTGAGCACAGTCACGCTCCCCCTGCGCACAGGCAGCGAAAGCACGGGTTCCGACACCCGGATAGGCTTGAACTGGAACTTGCAGCCAAAGCAGAGCGCAGAGTCGCTAAAGAAGGACACAGACACGATTGGGCGCTCGAAGATGTGGATGGGGTCCACGTGGGACACTATGCAGCCACCGGGCTGGTAGTCGTTGATGACGGCACTGTTGACGAAGCCCTCGGGGATGACGCGGTGCTCCACCAGCTTCTGGATGACCAGCTGGTGAACCCACTCGGGGATCTCGTCCACGTCGCCCGGCGGGTATAGGCGCTCCTGGCCGGGCCCGCGCTTCTGCAGCTGGGCGCCATACGTGTAGCCCTCGCCGAAGAAGTACTTGTTGCGCAGTGGAGCCCGGTCGACCGTGTGCTCGTTGTACAGGCCCTTCTCGGCGCGGGACACCACCTCGTCGATGCGGGCCTCGATCTTGGCGCACTCGTCCTGGCTGAAGAGCCGCATCTGACGGATGCCGCTCTTCACCTTGCGCGCCTCCTCCTCCTTCTGCAGCTGCTGCTCCTCATAGTCGCTGCGTTCGGGGTCCGAGTCCTCCTGGTACTTGCGTTTGGCCCCGGACACCGGGTAAGGCTCGGCGGCGGCGGCGGCGGCGGCGGC